GCAGGTTAGCTGTAAAGTGATACATGCCTTTGTTTTTCACTTTCAAACACATATAAAAGCCTGATAACATCATTATTAAATGAGCAATAGAACTAGGCCTAAAAAATGTACATACAGTACACTTATTACTGACCTTGAAATATTTTCTTCCGTATCTTATAGTAAGAGGGGAATATGTTTATTGTAGGAAGTCGAATAAGTGAAGATTGAGGAAATTGAAAACCGCTGCATTAGCGAAGCGCTGTTAAAGTGGGATTTGTTGTGTTTATTTTTCTTTATATGTTGCATAACATCATTAGATTTTTACTTGATTTAACACTTCATCATTTATTCCTATTAAGTCATGTTATGTGTATGTGCATGTGCGTGTGTGTGTGTGTGTGTGTGTGTGTGTGTGTGTGTGTGTGTGTGTGGTGTGTGTGTGTGTGTGTGTGTGTGTAGTGGTGTGTGTGTGTGTGTGTGTGTGTGTGTGTGTGTGTGTGTGTGTGTGTGTGTGTGTGTGTGTGTGTGTGTGTGTGGTGTGTGCTCGCGCGTGTAAGTGCCTACTAGGGAGGAGGTTGGGGTCTACGTTACTAACCTCACAAATGACTTAGGAAAATGACTATATTACTAACCAATGAGTGTGACAAAGACTCCCAACAGCAGCAGGAAGATCCCAGCACTGGCGGCCACCGCGGCTCTGCCCTCCACCATGATGCTCGATGCTTGTGTCTGCCTATCATCTTTTCTTCCCTTGCTTGCCTTATACCGGCAAGTTCCTGGACTCGCCTAAGAGAAACGGAAAGTAGAAACATTTATAATTTTAAGTTCATTTGGAAGCGCTGGCCATGAAGGGGTTATAGAGCACTTGCTTGTAAGCTCATTCGTTCTTTAAAGGATAAGGTGAACTGAGAGAGGATATGAATCAGTAAAGCATTAAATGCATCGTACTCAAAAAAAGTGAAGTACAATGAGAAAATCAATATTTGCAGTCAGAAAACAATCATAATACCCTGTGTATTGTACACGTTACTTTGAAAAGTGACCTTGAACACATCTAAGCTGGAAGATCTCCAACTGTAAGTTCCCCAACTGTAGGGTCTCCAACTGTAGGGTCCCCAACTGTAGGGTCAACAACTGCAGGGTCCCCAACTGGAGGATCTCCAACTGTAGGGTCTCCAACTGTAGGGTCTCCAACTATAGGGTCTCCAACTGTAGGGTTTCCAACTGGAGGGTCTCCAACTTTAAGGTCTCTAACTGTAAGGTCCCCAACTGTAAGGTCTCCAACTGGGGTTCCAACTGTAGGGTCCCCCAAATTAGAGGGTCTCCAACTGTAGGGTCTCCAACTGAAAGGTCTGCAACTGGAGGGTTTCCAACTGTAGGGTCTCCAAATAGAGGGTCTCCAACTGTAGGGTCTCCAACTGTAAGGTCTGCAACTGGAGGGTTTCAACTGTGGGTCTCCAAATAGAGGGTCTCCAACTTTAAGGTCTCTAACGTAAGGTCTCTAACTGTAGGGCTTCCAGCTGTAGGGTCTCCAACTGTAGGGTCCCCAAATTGTAGGGTCCCCAACTTTTAGGGTCTCCAACGAGGGTCTCCAACTTTTGGGTCTCCAACTGTGGGGCCCCCCAAACTTAGGGTCTCCAACTGTAGGTCTCCAACTGGGGGGTTTCCCCAAAACTGTAGGGTCTCCAACTGTAGGCCCCCAACTTAGGGTCTCCAACTGTAGGGTCTCCAACTTGAGGATCTCCAATTTGAGTGCTGGTTTACTTAAAAAAGAAAATGTATGTTATACCCAAAACTTCAATAAAACTGAGTTAACTACCTATTCAATTAAGGGACTGTTGGTCAACCTTAATTAGAGAAAAACTAGGATTAATTTTAACCTTTACAGGTAAAAAATTTACTTCTTTTTTTTTTTTGGATGAAACGGGGGAAAAATTTAAATACTGATTTTCATGCAATAATTTTCTGATTTTTCTCAACCAACTGGCTTAATCCATCACCCCTGTTAGTGTGCGACTAGTTAATGGCTCGGGTCAGAGGGGAAACGTTGTCATAAGTTTCTTCTCCTCTGTGCACGTTATTTGTGAAAATTCTGGGTTGATTGAATAAGATGGACGTATATACGCACATGTATACGTATACATAGATTTAATGTATATATATATTATAATTAAAATATATATATATATATATAATATTATATATAAAAAATATTATTATATATTATATATATCAATAACAAAACTGCGCTAGCCAAGGAAACGAACCGTGTTGTACTGGCCTGCCTCATGGTAAGCGAAAAACCACATGACGCTTTAACCACAGGACCACCCAACCCTACAAGAATGGCGCAGCCAGCAATGCTAGCTGTTGGGTCGCCATCCGAGGGGTGGGTGCGCCATTCTTGTAGGGTTGGGTGGGCCTGTGGTTAAAACGTCATGTGGTTCTCGCTTTCCATTAGGCAGACCAGTACAACATGGGTTCGATTCCTTGGCTAGCGCAGTGTTGTTATTGATATATTATATATATATATATATATATATATATATATATATATATTATATATAAAATATATATATATATATGTCGTGCCGAACAGGTAAAGCTTACTATTTTGGCTTAAATAACAACGGTCTTCTTGCCGAATAAGGCTGTTAACGCCACCCATATCATTATTATATTACTAACAGCCTAATTCAGCAAACCACTAAACTAGTTCTACTCAACATGTTGCAATCACACATGTGCACCCATACCTAAATGAACCCTCATGACAAGTAATGTTATATCACTCAAGTTGCAGTCTGTATAGCAGCACACCACCTAGACCACCTGTAGCATTACAATACCTGTATGTAGCAGTAGCTGGGTGGGTTACACATTATGTCGATGGTCACGGCAGACCTAACAATTATATATCGACTTTCGCGACAGAGTTAACAGGATGTTAGTATTATATAGACGCTCACGAGGGAGTACCATGATGTTCGGGAAACTGGGGTAAATTACCCTAAATGGGGTAAAAATGAAAATCTCGGGGTAATAAAGGCTCAATAAATATAAATATGGAATTGTACAAAAAAATTATTCTTTAATAAATAAGGCAAATTACGAAAGTTATATTTTTTCAAACACATAATTTGTAGTCTCTTAATAGAATTAAAAATCTAATTTTTAGGGACCATTTCTTAAGTTAGCATTGATGTAAGGATTGCAGCGGCTGGCAACACCGCATCAGCAGTGACTTGGAAGCCGGCACGACAACCACACATTCCATTGTTGACGTACCATCACCTAACTTTTGGGCCCAGTGTCCTATCTCACTATCAGTAATTGTCTCTCCTTGCAGTCAATGGAAGTTCATTGTTTATGTTAGTAGGTTTAAGACTTTCGATGACCAATGAGATTTTTATTAAATATGTCTGTGACTGTTTTTTATTTCATGCAGTTTATTTTTCATTTTATTATCTTGTTAATTTTGTATTTTATTTTTAAAGTTGCTTTATCGCGTATAATACAGACTTTTCAGTTTGTATGACTATTCTTCATTCAAATGGAATCAATAAACTATTTTGAATCTGAATGCTCCATGTGTTTTTCTGGATTCTGTGAATTTTCAAATCTATTGGATAATTTTACTGTATACGTATTTGTTTTGAGGTAATACTCAAAAAAGTTCTCTGACGCCCTACTCTGGTTAAACTTAGCAGGAGCATCAAGAGACTCTCTGGTATAATGATCAATCCTGCCCTTTTGTATAACATTGTTTAAGGCTGTGCACAATAGACTCCACTAAATAGCTATCGAGTTTGTACAGTCCATAATTTGAATTATTTACGGCATTCCTATCATGTTTCAAGAGGACTCACTTATGTTTCTTTCCATGATGGAACTGTTGGGTACATTTATCTGGCGCCCTGCCGTAAATAATTCAAACTATGGACTGTACAAACTCGATAGCTATTTAGTGGAGTCTGTTGTGCACAACCTTAAACAATGTTATACAAAAGTGCAGGATTGCTCATTATACCAGAGAGTCTCTTGATGCTCCTGCTAAGTTTAACCAGAGTAGGGCGTCAGAGAACTTTTTTGAGTATTACCTCAAAACAAATATGTATACAGTAAAATTATCCACTAGATTTGAAAATTCACAGGAATGCTTTTTATGCCAGGGAATCTCGTGATGTTCCGGTTATGTTCGATCAGAGTCTGCAAACTAAACCTCATGGTAGCCCGTCGTGAACGTCGATATAATATATAACATCCAGTTAAGTCCGTCGCAAACGTCGATATATATTATGTTAGTTCTGCCGTGACCGTATTGTCATTAATTTAGCCATTATTATTACATGAAGCTGTGTGGTCACGGTGGCTGCGTAACAACAGCACCTTGATGTAATTACGTAAAATTAAACAAACACTCACTACAATTCATCCCGGATAAGTTGTAGTGAGTGTTAATGTTAAACCGAAGAGCATTTCCTTTCAAAATTTGTTATCACATCATACATTAGTTATACAATCTTCTTTTTAACCAATCGTCGTATTATGACTATTTTCACATACCTTTTGCATCTAACACATATGTACCCTATTCAACACTGGACCTTTTCTCCACAATTTCGTTTTACCTTTCTTATCGATTTAGGAATAATGCAGTAATATTACTGATTTTTAATAGGTTTAGATGGCCACAATAGTCCCCATAATGTTAATAGACAGCTCTGACAGTATAAAACAAAGTTAATAAATTAACAACGTAAGGTGATGGAACCTGATCAGACTCTGTGTACTAGGCAGTCCTCCAGCTTCGAATACAGCTGCTTCACAATTACGTGGTGGTGGGAGTCTAAGCTTAGAGTCTTTGACTATGCTTGGGAGATGATGCATTAAATTATAATCAAGGAATTTCAGTAATGAATTAGTATATCACGGAGAATCTAAATGGTTTATCAAACGCAGTCACTGCTCAAGACACTGTTCAAGACACTGCTCAAGACACTGTTCAATATACTTACGACGACACTAAGACGCTGCTGGAGGTACAACAGAGAAGTATGCAGAGTTGATTCTAAATCCAAGTCCGGAAAATACTTATGCGCCCACACTATAATATGGACGACCAGCGGCACAACTGTGTCTTGCCTCCTCACAAAGCTTGATTCTGGTACTACACTGTTGAGTTGACACTAATTAGATACAAAAGTAGTACTTGATGTTATCTTCCTTATCTTCGGTCTAATTATAATTTATCTACGAGAACACAGGGATAGTATGCTCTTGAGAGTGTAGGTAGAGAGATGTACTGATGCTGGTGAATTAAAACTAACCTTTCTATTTTTTTCAGATCGAATCTATATCCTCCCCATCCCCGGGTGCTATATTACCATTGTTCTCTTCTACTACGTATTGTGTTAACCTTTCTTTTTTGCATTCATGAAACCTTCCTTGAGGAGAGAGAATTTTTAGAGAAGATGACTTGTTGGATGCTGGCTGCTGATCATACACGACGGTTGCTACCCAAACAGCGAGTGTTCCAATCTCTCATAATCTCTGTGCCACATGTTACATTTTCATTTAATTTACCTGCTTTGTGCTCCTTTTCAAATATTCTCCAGAGGTGTAACTGACGTCTACGTCCTGTGTTACAGCTAATATCCGGGTGCTGTAAGCAAATGCTGTTACATATATATATATATATATATATATATATATATATATATATATATTTTATATATAATATATATATATATATATATATATATATATATATATATAGGATGGGTTCACATCTGGTGTAAATTGTGGGACCCACAGCCTCGGAGAAGTGGATAAGAAGGCTTCAAGGAAGAATATTTGGATTTCTTCCTGAAGCCGTTTGAATATTCCACTTCCCCTACCACCCCATCTTTTAAACTATTTTTTTACCAACAGGAATATTTTATTACATAATATGGTACAGAAGATTTAAGATATATATATATATATATATTATATATATATATATATATATATATATATATATATATATATATATCGTGCCGAATAGGCAGAACTTGCGATCTTGGCTTAAATAGCAATGCTCATCTTGCCATATAGGACAAGTGAAAATTTGTGTATGCAATAATTTCGCCAAAATCATTCTGAACCTAACGAAAAAAATATATTGATTGTGTTTGTTTAGTACTAAATTATTGTAAACGTATTTAAAATTATTTTTTTTGGGTTAGGCTAAAATAAATGCTTTTGTTTAAAATAAGGTTAGGGTTTTCTAGATTCTTTTGGGAAAAATTAAAAATTTTTACTTAACATTAATGAAAAAAATATTCTTTAAACGTAAAGGAAAATTTTAGAAAGGACTTAATTTTAAATGAGTTCTGCTAATTGACCAGTTTTACATATTTTCATATATATTATATAAAATATAAAATATATATAATATATATATATATATATATAATTTATTATAAATAATATATATATATATTTAAAAACATATACTATATAATATATAATATATATAATATATAATATATATATATTATTAATATAATTAAACTATAATATATATATATAAAATATATATATATATATATAATATATTTGTCTTTCACTCCCTACATTTATGGCATCATACTGCGGAATCAGCTGGGGGAGAAAATTTTTTTACCCCCCCTAACTGATACCTCCTAGTTGGCATCGCCTAAAAGGGTACTAGAAGAGTATTTGCTTGCAAAAGCAAGTTTGAATCTAGGGGCAGAGGAGTTAAGATTTCGAAGGCTGAAAAAATGAATTTAAAGGGAAAGAAAGATTTTACTGGAGAAGTTTTTTTTTTTTTATATTTTTTTTTAAAAAAAACACAATACATTAAAATAAATAAAAGAACACAGTATCAGTTCTTACTCATATTATAATTCTCAATGTCCAAATGAACACAGACGATTAACGTTTGTGTTGTCACACCTGTCCATATCCCCAAATACTTACATCAATGTAAACTATGTTAAGTTAGATTACATTCATTATTATTAAACAAGGAAAAAACCCAAACCTACAATCTGCATTATTTTTTCACTTTGTTTTTTATCATATTATTAATCACATATTCTTCAAACTCCTTTCAATTCTCAATTATTGCCAGTGCCGGACACAGTGACACTTCTACCCCCCCCCTCATTATTTGCAGTGCCGCACAGCTGACACTTCTACCCCCCCCCCCCCGGATGTACAGCCCCCATTAAATAAAACATACATAAGTTCCTAATGAAGGGTCATTGAAAACAATTTCTACTAACAATAACCCAACCCAGCAGGACTTCAAACATAAACAGTCAGGGTCATGATAAGACATGTAGGAACGAGTCCTGCAATATATATGTATACATATACGCATGCATAGAAACACATCGTGTATGTGCACTTATTCATAAGAACTAACTAAATCCATACAGTGAAATATAATCGCTAAATGCTTGTTGCAAATAACTAAATATTACAATCTATGATAGAACTATACAAAGACATTGGTTCCCCAAAAATCACTCCTACATACACAAGTTAAGTTTACTGATTAACACAATATATAATAGGAACTGCCATACAATATAAGCGGGATATATAAACCCCCATCAAAAATCTTATATATTTAAGTAAATAGGGCATAATGTAACTTATTCAATACAATAATAAAAAAAGGAGGTGTATGACAAGGTAACATCTATCTTTCAGATTAAAAATATATAAGACAAAACCTCACATTTATTACATATAAATATAAACCTTCCTTATAAAATGATTATTATAACAATAAGGGCAAAAACCGAAAATCACATACAACTTTTGGACGCTGTGGATTTTACAGGGAAATATTCATAAGGTCTACTTACTCCCTACAATTAACTTTACCCACTTCAACCACGTGCAAACCAATCAACCATACTCACCAGGCTTCCAATCACACCAAGAGGGCGCACCAAATGAAGAGGGACCCAACACCCGTTGCCTATCACCCCATACTCAAACGGAGTAAACGTTCATACTGTAAGTCCACGTTATTCCTCGGAAAACTATTTACCCACTTCCCACCATCATAATTGTTTGTTCTTACATGCTGTCTATAAAAACTCGCCGCCAACGCTTTTATTCCTAATGTTCCCCTCCACCTCCCTCATCCCCCAAGTAACTACAAGTAATCAAACTATTACATATCTGATAGCCTTCCCACTCTTTGGGTACCCTTCCATATCTAACATAAAGCCCTAAGGGGTGATATTCTTTCCCCCCCCCAATAAAGAAAACCCTCTTCAACACTATCTTACCTCCTCCAACGCAGAACAAAAATATACTACATGAAAAAGCCGTCAACTTCCCCACAAAAAATACGCATGACGCCTCTTTCACAAAACCCATTCGTCTTGCACCTCTTTCGATGCTAACGTACCATAAGAAAATCTATTTACTAATTCCCTCGCTCTTGCCGTTTATTCCTTAATTTACTAAATTCCACCATATCACTCTCCATTCATTATGTGGGATACACTGCCATCCACTTGCATTGATTCCTGACGACGACCCACCCACTAACCGTTTTACCTTGAGTTTTTTAACATTGCGAACCTTTAACATAAACCGCAACATGTCTCACACTCCACTAAGTCCCTGCCACCACACATTTGCGGATAATCCACAATCACCTCCCCACCCGATGACCCCTTTCCCCGCGCCCGAATTATACCTCTGCTTCACATTTAGCGCCGTCACCCTAGACCCTAATGCCAACAATCCCCAGTCCTCCCTGCCTTTACCGCAGTCATTACACAGCTTTGCCAACCACGCCCTCCCATAAGCCCCACACATACCTTAAGACCCTCTTTGCATTTTCCATAATATCCTGACTCCTTAATGGGTAAAATTTCCGCCACTCCCACACCTTACTATAAATCAGCGTATTTACCACCACCAACCCTTTGATGCAAGGTTACAGCCCCGGCCCTTAGACCCCTCAGCCTACTCAAAGCTTGTCCATTACCATTTCTGAATTAACCCTCCTGCTCTCCTGTGCATCTGCCAAAACAAAATCCCACAAATCTTTAGCCTTATCTACAGTTATCCAACCAAACTCCTCCCCATAGGTCCCTCCTACCCAGCGCCTACCTCCAAACAACGTGATTTCTGCTTATTAACCCTCATCCCATAGCATTCCCAAAAATCCAATTACCCTTCCACTTTTCTTAAATCTTCAATTCCCATTAAGAAAAACAGTTGTTCATCTACATAATCAACCATATTCCCACAATATCCTCCACTCTCCCCAACCTTCCCATCCCACCATCAACCAGAAATAGAAAGTATTCTGCATACATGCAAAGGTATTTTGGGAGTAGTGGACACCCCTGCCTTAAACCCCTTCCCATGCTCCCTACTGAAACTACCCAACCTCCCATTTACCTGTCTCTCATTGATGCATTCTCATACAAAGTCCTAACCCATCCAACCACCCTACCTCCAAAACCATTCTCACCTTTACTCTCAATCAAAAATTCCCTATCCACATAATCATAAGCTTGTCCCTATCCAGACCTAGCATACTACCCTTATTACTACCCTAAGGAAATCCCGAATACGACCATGACCTACCCGCATATCCTCCCCGGGATACCAAACTGTCCCCCCATGTATCAACCGAACTCCATGACCTTCTTCAGGTCTATTACCCTAAATTTTTCGCAAAAAACCTTGTAATCAGCACACATCAAGGTTATTGCACTGTAGCACTCTATCTCTCGTCCCCCCCTTCTTTGGCACCCAAAACTATGGACGGGACCTGTACTTTGCGATATGCCAACTTCCCACTAGATAACATATGGTCTCCAATAGCCTAACAAAACACTGCCTAATACACCCCCAATGTGCTCTATAAAAATCATTTGGTATACCGTCTTATCCATGGTGTTTTCCGGTACTCATCCGAAAACCTGCCTCTTCACCTCATCCTCACTTATTCTCAACCTCAACCCCACTATATCCTGTCTCACTTAAGGACGCTAGGGAACCCCCCCTTCAAAAATACCCTCCCAGGAACCCCCCTCCCCTCCAACTCCATTTGTACTTCTAAACCAACTATCAGCATAGAGACTCATACTTTCCGTTGTGGTTAGGACTCGACCATTGG